AAAAGGAGTTAGCCACTGTTGTTGAGAACCTTCGGAAGGCCCAACACAGAATGATAGAGCAGGCTAACAAGCACCGTCGCCCATCACATTTTCAAGTAGGCGACTTAGTCTGGGTCAAGGCAAAAGAGTTTGCACCAGAAGAAAACATCTCGCAGAAGTTACTGCCTGCATATAGAGGACCGTGGCAGTTCTAGAAGTCAAGGGCGGAGAGGATGGACCGTCCTACACACCTCCACACATACCCTGTGTTTCATGCTTCAAAGCTGCTGCCGTGTGTCACTAGTCACCAGTTCCCTTCCAGGAGATCCATGATCCCACCGGATATGGATGGGAGCTATGACATAGAGGGCATTGTAGAAGAGGATGTGTTTCGAACAGGAGGTAGAGGTTGTCCCCAAAAACAGTATAAAGTCCGGTTTGCCTATCAGGAACCGGAAGACGACCGCTGGTTCACGAAAGCAGAACTTCTAGAGACTGCTCCCGACATAGTCGAAGCCTATGAGCATGACAAAAAAGGTAAAGGTCCCGCCTTGGACTGAAATTTTCTCGGAGGACCTCGAAATTAGGACGGCGGGAGTGAAACGGTTTTCACCTTTTAGCAGTGGCGGATGCAGTACCCAGGGTTCGATCCCTAGACCTCACCCGAGAATTGAACCTGTGACCTGTGTATTCGTAGGCAGTTGGTAGGCCTGTCGTAGGTCCATAGGCAGCAGGGGTTCGATCTGTAGGTCTATAGCGTAGGAGTCTTAGTGAGTTCCTGAAGCTTAGCTGTAAACCTTCTAGAAGGTAGGCAAGTGGGCAAGTGGTCAAGTGGAGAGGCAAGTGGTGGACTAAACCGCAGTGCAACGGCGGTACAACGTCGGTAGGATAGCAGTAAGTCCACAGTCAGTCAGTGGAAGGTCCAGTCAGTCCCAGTCCGGTCCAGCAAGTACCACAGGGGGACTGTGAGCACCAAGGGCCGATGGCAAAGGGCAGACCAACGAGTTTCTGAAGTACAAATCAAGAGGCAGCGCCCAGCCGTTCATTCATTCCTGCGTGAGCCATGCGGAAGCGCTGCCATAGCGACTTGTGCAAGGTCTGCAGATGAGCCCGGAGGACGCAGTGGGCAAGAGAGAGGGAGTTAGTATAGCGATAGGTTAGATGCAGCGATAGTTGCCATAGCTGTAGTTAGTAGTGAGTGTGCGTGTGTGTTTGAGTATTAG